ATTTTTCTTTTTTATAAGAAATTTGAATTTTTGAATGGAACAAAATAAAAGTGATTATTTTCTGGAAAATAAAAGTGATAATTTTCTTGAAAATGAAAGATATAGAAAATTATTTTATAAATATCGTTTTTATTGTAAAAAATGTCAAAGATCTCAAAAGCTTTTAAATAACGCATCATTACCAGTATACCCATCAGATTGTATTTTTATCATACATATACTTGCTGTAAAGAAAAAAGAATTACAAAAAAATTGAAAGAAGTTAATTTCATTCATAAAGAAAGAAATTATACAAAGGTAAGATATGATATTAACAAAACTCAAATGAGAATATATTCATTTTAATCCAACTTTTGTTGTGTTACAGAAAGAAAACAAAAAAAAAAAATGAATGAAGCTAAGGATATAAAAACAAGACTACAAGAAATATCTTTATTTATAAAACAACAAACATGTTAGTGCAAAAAGAAATTAAAGAAATAAAAGATATGATTACAAAATTTGAGGAAGAAAATGTTTTATTACATTTGAAATTACTTGATAAAATTAATGTGCTAGAAAAAAATAACAATGTTGATGAAAATAATAAAACTGAAAAATCAACATTTGTTACACCTACTGGATTGTTTGGAAAATCTACTGCTAAAAAATCATTTGATTTACTTAGTAAGGAGGAAAATCCATTAGCATTTGATGCATCTTTTCAATCAAGATTTGGTGGTGTACCCATGGGTTCATTTATTTAAAAAGAGGAAAAACCCACGTCATTTGGTGAATGTAGTGGTTTATTTTAAAAACACTTTTTTTAATATAACATTTTAAATTGTAAAAACATGTAATAAATTGTTTTTCTTGATTAAAATTGTTTTGCAATTTTTACATTTTTTTCATTTTTTTACATTTTAAATTTATTTTTTTCAATTTTTCAACTTTTTTCAATTTTTACAATAAATTTCATTTTTTTACAATTTTCTCTATATTTATACTTTTTTATATATCTACTTGTATCATAAATATTCAGTCGCTCAAAGAGAGAAGATGTCTTTCAAAAGTAGAATTAATTCAATTATTCAAGATCTGAAATTTTTTTGGAAATATGATGGTCAAAACATCTTCATAATAGGTCTTCTCCATATTGGATTTCTTTTCTGTCTTCATAAAGCAACAACGTCTTTGGTTCAACCTGTTAATATTGGTGTTTGTGATTAATTTTATCTCAAGTTTTTGGTAAGCATATTTTAATTTTTTAATATTTATTAACAATATGACACTTCTTTATCATCATTTTTTTAGAAAAAATTTTGTTAAATATTAGTTTGGGATAAAGAATTTGGTGAAAAGGTTGATTCCTTTTATCGTTTCTTTAATGTGGATGAAGCATTGAAGCGTGACAAATCGTATCATAAATAAATTGGACTTTGGACTTTCCATATTAAACATTTTAAAAATTGGACTTTGGACTTTCATCAATGTAATTATTTTATATTGTATTTGAAATATATATCTTTTTATGAAATCTTCTTGTTTATATATTTTATATATTTTATATTACTCTTATTCACTATTCTAATATATATATGTATATTATCACAGGCTCACCCTTCTCTATTTTTATGTTTACTACCGCTGACTGTCTCAAAACGATCCCCGGTTTTTATTATAAGATGTATTATGACTATTTTAGACATAATACATTTTATAATAAAATAATTGAGCCTACGATGATATATATATATATATATTAGTTAACTACTACTTGTGGCCATGATGCATTTAAAATGTTATTTGCTATGTTGCGACAATTGACAACTGGAACGTATTCCAAACTGCCTGATGTTACCTCCAATACAGCAACTAGAACAGCTAACATTGCCAAAAGTGTCTTTAAATAATCATACCAAACATCCGAGTAAGATTTCAAAATCTTAAGATTTTCATTCCCATTCTTCCTGAAATAATTCATGGACATCATTTTAATAAATTGATAAAATTAATAAGGACGGATTATCAATTTTAAGTTAGCGTTCTGTACTTTTTTCCTCTGACAGGAATATAGTTCACTAAAATACACAAATTCTATTTGTTAGTTGTAATTGCTAATCAAGTTTAAATTCATTTCCTCTCCAGACATTCACATTCATTTTTACACTTGCCATTTAATTAAAACAGCAAGTCTTGTTACAGAGACACTGTAACAAAATCATATAATATACATCAGTTATATATTTTATGTATCGCGATACTCATTGAAAACACAATTCAGAAATCTGACTTATAAAATAAAAATAATAAAAGGTGTGTTGTGATTTGTTGTCGCCGCCACTAAATCTTTTTATAAGCAAAGTATTTTGGTTATGAGCACATATGATATCTCGAAATATTAGGCACATGAAATGTAAAATATGTTAGTAATTAATTTTGAATTAGAATAAGTAAAGTGTGCAAGAAAGATCATGGTGATGTCGTTCGATCACATAATTAAAATAAGAAAAGCGATAGAGCGTTTAACATTCGATTGCAATAAATGCACCTAAATGCTATGTCGAAGCATGTTCTTGAAAACAAGCTAATGATGGTTGCAAGAAAGTCAAAATGTATTCAAATCCATTGGCATGATGGTAGGGGTGCAAAATGATATGGCCACTGGCCAGCTCTTAATTTCAATATGAAGTAAATATAGGGCATATATTGCAGAAATGAATATAGGGCATCAAATTCCAAATTAAAAAGAGAGGTATTTGAGACATTTCTTATTTGAAAACAATTATGTGGAGGACTCCTCCATAACTTCTAAAACTACTTGCACCTTTGGTGCTCAGCTTGACATGGCAGCAACGATATCAAAAGCAATTTAACATTGTGTTTGATGTCGTATAATGAGCCTTTTTGATGGTTCTGAAACTAGCTAATATTAGAAAGTATGAAATAGTAAATAAAAGTACTAATTCACTTACAATCATGCAACAAAACGATGGATTCGCAAACAAAACGACGGAATATCGATCTACAACGCTCTCTCGAGACACGTTAAAAACATAAATACAAAAATTATTTTAGCCAGATTAAACTAAGCATTAAAGCTAAAAAAGTTAACTTCGTAGACGCAATTCTTAATCTCAATAGTTACACCTTCAATTATCTATGAAAACTCACTCACTCGTGCATGTATTTTCCAAATTGCACTTAAAACCAAACAACTATTATATAAATACTAATAACTGTATTAATATTCTTTGTAGGTTTATATTTATTGGTTTATTTATACAATTGTTTTTATCGTAACCTGTATTTAAATTACTGGGAAGATTTTCTCAGTAATTATGTCATTTTTATTTAAAAATTTTTATATTTAGTAATAGTTTTTGAATAAATGATCATACGAAAATCAATTTTAAAAGAGAAACCATCGTATTTAAACCAAACATGGTATTTTTTCCATTTCATTTTTTCGTCTTTCTCCGCGGTAAACGCATGTAGCATTTCTAGTTTTGTTTCATTTAATCAACTAGCGGCATTTTCAGTAGATGAAAAGACAAACCAAGCTTTGTAATCTTCTATATGCAAGGACCTCATGAAGAGCTTTCATTTCTAAATCATCATTGTCGTCGATATCAAGCGAGTTGATTTGGCATTTGTGTCAATGAGCCAGGAGAAATTTTTGAAGAACGTTATCGTTAAGTGAGAGGACTTATAGATTCTTCAAAGCTGCTATAGTCAACATTAATCATTTATAAGGTTTAAATCAAGACGAAGTTTTTCAAGACATTCCAAAGCAAGAATTCCTCTCGGTATGGACTTCAAGCCACAGTTCACAATGAATAAGCTTTTTAGTCCGATAAGCTTATCAAAATTGTTAAAATCAACCTCTTCAAGAGTGCATTTGATTACATTCAGTGTCAGGAGATTTTCACTTATCAATTGATCGAAAATTCCAAGCGGAATTCCTGGAAGATTAGTAAAGATAATGCCTTTGTTCATCCAATGATGTTTGCAAACCTTCGACAGGAAATTCTTTGCTCAATGCATGAGCCACAACCTTCTTTTTGTTCTCTTTAGAGAGGCAATGCACGAACCTTATAACGTACATTTTGTTGTAAGAATGCAAGAGATGCAAGAAAATCGGAAGTCACCATCTACTTGAGAAATACCTGAAAGCTTACCAAAGTTATCCAAACATTTGATAAGATTATTTATATTCATATTTCTTCAGGCACAATTTAACTATGCAAATAATTTTAAAAGTATATAAATCCACTAACAGCCAACTCCAAGACAAATATGAACGATACTGACATAGAGGAAGCCAAGACGTAGGAGCATAAGAAGTACTCGTGATGGATGGGAATATTGTGTTT